AATTCGACGCCATCGACCGTCTCATTGTCGCAGTAGTAAATGTAGGAGGCATTCGGATCGAGTTTCCAAGTGTCTTGTGTTGGTACAGTGGTGTATTTTGCCGCTTTGGGTATTACTAAATTGACCTTGCCATATTGTTCAGCTTCTTTTGCTGCCTTGGCTGACCAAGAGCCGGTCACGACGTAATCAGCGACACCAGTGCGTCCTATGAGATTAAAACAGACAGCCGCGAATTGTCCAGTGCCACCGCCTTGCATGAGCAGTATCTTATAGTTTGATGGAATATTCAATAGCTCACGTAGATCATTTATAGCTGTTTCTTGTATCGTTGCGTAATTWGATGAACGATGGGACATTTCCATCACTGATATGCCGGTGCCATTGCAGTTCASCAAATTTGCTTGTGCCTCTTTGAGGACCTGAAAGAGCAAAGAAAGATAAGATCAATGAGTTACATAGTAGGATTCAATGTTGCAAAAAATTCGCACTCCGAAATTCTAACTTGGTATTTTGAATTAGCGAAATGCATTTTCTAAGATATCCTTTTAAAAGAAAATGGTGTATTCGAAGTTCGTTGTTTATCGAAACCAGTGTAACCGAATTCATATGGAATTTATAATTATTCTCATATCATTCGACAGTTCTCTGACGCTTGACTTCTTAGCTTTAGACTATTGGTTAAAGATGGATCTTATCTTCAACTAACTTTTTTACTTTTTTTCAATTCGATGGAACGCCAAAAGTTTAAAAAAGCTATCAGAATTCATCTTCACCAAAACTTTGGAACCGGTTTCATCATTTACAGTTACCTTCAGTCAATAGTTTTTAAATAGTAATTGAGAGTCTCTCATCCATGGGGATGTGATAGAATTTCAGAATAATTGMCCAGTTCTCTTCCTATTTATACAAGACTTGGTCAGAAATGGGAAAGGAAATGTGGTTTACCACACAAATATTGAACAATTTATAATGTATTTTATGAAAAGACGTTTCACATTGGAAGTATGCTTTTACATTTTATATTTCCTCAGGCAAGGGGCTCAATTTCGGAATTTCTCTTGCTTCAAATTTGATTCCGCCTATCCGTTCGACGGTCTATACATACGCTAAGTAGTCCCACAGTTTTTGAAATATCGTTCTGAAATTTTGCACATGTCCTTTCTACTCATTTATCGGAACTACCGATATCGGGTCTCAATTGCATATAGCTGTCATACAAACAGATCTATCGAAATCAAGTCTTTGTAAGGAAAATTTTTTAATTCGACAAAAAATCATCACGAAATTCGGTATGGATCATTGGCCAAGGCAACGGTACAATCATCGAACAAATTACCCTGGTCGCATCTGTAGAGGGTATACTTGTTTTTCTTTTTAATATATGCCACTACTTAGAGAACAACCGGAATATGGCGCGATTTTAAATAAACAAAACTGAGTTGTAGTACACAGCTTTCTTCTAATTTCACAAGTCTCTAGTGATAAGAGAACTCTTTGCACTGCTGTTTCACGAATGGATTTATACAAATGTTGTGCCCTCGTTATGTTAGTAAAGCGGTTTAAACTAACCTCCTCCGGTAATTTAGCTGGACCAGCGGCAAAATTAATGACCATTTTGAACTTTGCTATTTTAAGGAGATGGATCAGCACTTATTCACGGCTAAAGCGAAGAGAAATTAATTAGAAACAATCCACCCGAAAGCAACTTCGACTTGAGACTGAAGTATTTGGCGTGCGAATATACGACGATGACTACGAATGCTAAGCCAAGCGATAATAAAAACCGGATTGTAATATATGTAAGTAAGATCGCTTAGAACGTTGTGGAAGTGGAACCTTTAAATGACAACGAGACAACGAGACAACGCGGCTTAATAAGTACGTTCACTTGTTTGGGTTTGCTGTTGTTGGAAATTGATAATACAATTAATTTTTGTATTTGTACTATATTTATTTGTAGATTTGTGCATAAGTACTTTGTTATTTGTTAAATTTGTTTTATAGATTTGTTATTGGAATGCAGGAAGTCGTGCATCAATTTGTTATTATTATTTGCAAAAGATTTTGCAAGAAGCCGGATTGATTCAGTTTTTTTTTAATTTAATCAACTTGCTATCGAGAGTTCATTTACAAAATGAACCAACGCTTGTTAGAGCTTTTGAAGTTATCTTGCTCGGACTACATTCTTAATATCATGGTACATGTATGCACAAATAACAGCATATTTTAATACTACGGCAAAATGATTCAACATAAAATAATAATTTTGCATTACTAACGGGTTTTTGTATATAAGGGTGATCCATTTCGATATTCGCTACTTTTTATCAAAAAAAACACATAAACATCAAATTTAATAGGGAATGATTATTATTATTCGAAATAACATTATTTGGCATTTATTTTTTGAAGATTATCTTTTTCAAACGTTGGTTGCGGATTTGTCTCAGATGAATCATCCCTTGAGTTYAATTTTCGATGACTCGTTAGAGCATTTCCACTGGTAGGTGGTGAATGACACGTATGATGTGTTGCTCCAAAGCCTGAATCGAAGTGGGATTGTCCGCATAGACTTTATACTATACATATCCCCAGAGGCAAAGTCTAACGTTGTAATAAAACACGGTCTTGGTAACCAATCAACCRGCTYAAAACGTGAAATTATTTGCTTACCGAARTATTCTCTCAATAAATCCATTGATTGATGCGATGTGTGGGAAGTGGATCTGTCTTCAATTTCAGGCATTACCGGTCTCATCATTTTTGAAGATATACCASCGGTTCACAAACCACAYCAATCCGTTGTTTTTTCTGAATGAAGTGGCAGCTCTTGAACCTCTTCAGGTTGCTCTTCGTMCCAAAAGCGGCAATTTTGATTGTTTACATACCCATTGAGCCAGAAATGGGCTTCGTCGCAGAATAAAATTTGTCACGAAATGCCTATAGAGCAAATCGATCTCGCTTAAGAAGGTCGAGCGGCTTCGGTTCTTGCACAGGCTGTATTTTGTACGCTTTCATTTTAAGATCTCGACGTAAAATGTGCCAAGTTGTTTCCATAGGGAAATGGAGAATGTAGTATATCCCCAACATATCTCAAAAATTGCTGAAGCTATATCTAACCAATTCTCTGCAGACAAATCTTACTGGCACCTTCTCAGAGAGTGTGAAAACTGCCAAAGATGCGATAATTCATTATATAAATATTAGGTTGTCAAAAAAGTCTTGTGGTAATTTCGCTAGTTGGCGCTGAGAGCGCGTAGTTCTAGTTTTATTCGTCGCATCGGGTCATGGTATACCTTTTTGGAAAGCTCATTTCACGCGCTAACACGTGTTTGATTGATTTCTCTTAAGTCGTTCGTGAGTTATAGCGTCGCAAACATGGAGCAAAATAAAGAGAAAATACGGCATATTTTAGAGTACTACTACGATAAAAGCAAAAAATGCATCTCAAGCCGCCAATAAAATTTGTGCAGTTTATGGACCCGATACAGTTTCCACTTCCACCGCACAACGATGGTTTCAAAGTTTTCGTTCTGGTGTAGAGGTGGTCGAAGATGCGCCAATCGCTGAATTGGTCGAAAGAGACCGGCATAGTTGCAGCCGTAGCATCGGTCATCGGGCATGGGTCATCAAAAAAATTTGTATGAACAATTGAAAATTCAATAAAAATACCGCAAGAAATACCGCAAGAAAKGCCGCAAGACTTTTTTGACAACCTATTATGACAGAAGTATTAAATCACATTTTCACAGTCAAGACGGTACTTAATACTTCAGAAGAATATACCTAAAAATTATGTGGTGTTACCAAAACTACATAAAATTGGGTCAACACTCCCTAAATCCACTGTAGCCCATATAAGTCTTTTAAACGGTTGGCTTTATACCGTATACTATATATAGTACAACTGATAAATTTAGTAAAAATTAATATATACTGTTGAATTCATAACGCGTCCCTTATACCTTTGGGAGACATATGGCACAATAGTATACTATAAAGGAATACTGTGTGCCACGAAATAACAATACTTTACCCTGCGATGAATATGGCATTTGCTTCAAGCATATACGTCCCCCATAAAAACAAACCAAAAATTTCGCTATGTCGAAAGCTTTCAAGCTTGTGTAACCGAAGCGCATGAGCTTTTGCTTTGTGGAAGGCAACTTAATTTAGAATGAAACCTTGCTACAGATAAAACGTTAAAGAGACATGCCATTTGAAAATCAATTTAAAMATTTCTTTGAAGTTAAAAAGATATTTAATTCCAAATAATATAGAGAAATGCRAACTGATTGGATTGTCGTGTCAGTTCTCACTACGTAGGCCGTCGTATATATGGAAAAATATCACATCAAAAATTAATATTCCAAAATATACTTACGATTCAATATTAATTAATAAAAAAAGCAAAAACCAGCTTCCCATTTTATAAAGTTTGTTGTCTAATTGCTCTAAATAATGTTCAAAGAATGTTTTATGTTTACAATTACGGTAAAAAATCACTCATTAAAAAACTGAGCCATTAATTATTAAATTTTTCTACAAAATTCGTAAAGAATTCCTGAAGACTAAAAAAAATTACAAGTTAAGAAAGTTAATATCATTTATTTTTTAAAAAATTCGACGAAGTTAAAAAAATTATAGAAAAAAGCGAACTCTATATTTGAGTAGTTTCAATATCTTGAAAGTACGACATTCATACTAATCAATAATCCATCATAGGTTTATTTTTCAGCTGACGGAACACGTCTTTTTTTCCCTCTACTTCAAATACCATAGTTCATTGAATTTTATAACCATTTTATAAAGCAATTTTTTTAAGCTAACTATCTATTTATAGACTATATTMAATTTTTGCTAGATTAAATTTTTTGGAGAGTAAAAATTTGCTGCGGTAAATTAAATGTATATTTAGATGCTATATTTTGCAACTTTAAACTCTTTTAATCCTGTTCAAGCTGTCTCGAAATAAAAGAGAGTAGTTTTTCTCTTCTGTGATTTTCAATCGAATTTATTTGTCAAGGTGTCTTAAAAATGTAGTTACAAAACGAATTTTTGTTAACTTCATTTGCTCTAAAATKTTATTTCCCGACGCCACAAAAGCAGATGGAAGCATTAAAGCTTTCGTTACATGATACTCTCACTGCGTAGCTTGTACTTTTGCTACGATGTCGCTCCAAAATATTGAATACTCYTTCAGTACTGTGCCACTGAAAAGGAAACAAAATATTTAAGTTTATTCAAAAGCTTTTGTAAAAAAAGATAAAAGTAGATAAGTTTGAATTTTTTTGTTAAATAATAATAACCTTTTCCTTATACTAAATTCTTTCAAATCAACTCGAAAAAGGTGAAAATTGCTAATATCACTCTAAACTAGAGGAGAAGCTTTAATGTACCATAACAAAAAAACCATAATAATAAAAAAAAAGAAAAAAAAAAAGAAATCAAATCTCAAAGCATTTTATATACATAATTCAATTTTTAAGCTACGAAGAAGAGCTTCTTAGACAATCGTTCTCACGACAGTCCGGTCTAATTAAGTGGAACGAACCCGGATATTTATCGCGCCGAGGATTGACTTTTCCGTAACAAAACTCTTATCTAATTAAAAAAATGTTTTCTGTCACTACAATAACAACAGCTTCTTAGAGAACAAAAGTTGTGAAGTATCATCATCAAGAATTGAAACGGAGAACATTTAAAAGCACTTACGCTGTCTAGTTGTCATACAAATCATTAAAAGAATCCTAATAAAAACATGCATTACCACTAAATAACCTCAAATTATATTTTCGCCAAAGCAAAACATAACAATGTATGCAAAATTACAAAAGTCTTTACTAAATTGTCGACCGGCGCAGACAACAAGACAAGACAACACGTCTAAGTGCGTGCGCATGCGCCTTTGTACGAATGCGAGTATGAGCACTTATGGGTGATTTGGGCAATCAAAGAGAGACACATGAAAAGAAATCGTAAAGTATGGTTAATGAATCAAGCAATAAATATTTCATGTTGTGCAATATTGGTAAACACTAGCCGCGTTTACTATTTACCATTTGCTGCAACATTTGCCGGCTTGCCACCAACTCTTTGGCTGCTGCTAATGCAAAAGGCAAGTAGGTCAGTATAGGCTCTGTCTCTTATACACATCTAGATGTGTATAAGAGACAGGTGCAATATTGGTAAACACTAGCCGCGTTTACTATTTACCATTTGCTGCAACATTTGCCGGCTTGCCACCAACTCTTTGGCTGCTGCTAATGCAAAAGGCAAGTAGGTCAGTATAGGCTGGTTATTATGTCTCCTATGCTATCGCTATACGGCTGAATGTATGTATGTATGCCTGCTTGTTCATTTGCTGGAATTACTTAGTTTACAAAAAAGGAAGTTTCTTGAAAGTTACTAAAACAACAAACACAAGATGGTATATTTATGCTTGTTTATACCCTACATGTAATTGGGAGTTTATATGAAGCAGTCCCTCAGTTTTTGTGATATCGATATACAAGCTCAAAGCTTAAAATCAATATAAAGCTCTCCGATTCAATTCTAAGGTTTGGTACCGCTTAACAGCTTAAATATAGTCCTTCGATAATTTACTTCACGACGATTATAAAATAAAGGAAGGCCGATTATAAAATAAATCTTATAATTTTTAAAGTTTAAAATAAAATAATATAAAAAAACACTTTTTCAACAACAACTGTAATTGAGTATTATCTGGGCTTCAGATCATAGAAACCTACTTGGAATTGAAAGAGCTCGCGAGTTCGGCTAAACTAGAGCAGCTTTTGATGGAACTATTATAAACTGTAAGGACCAGTCAGGATACTATCTTTCCTTTAAATTCTAGAACATCTCTATAAAATTGCCCTAAGTTTTCAAGTAGATCCGAGTAATAGTAATAGTTTCGGAGATACTGCCTTGAGAACTTGTGCGCTTGAAGCTAGCTAAGCTAAGCACGCCGTCTTCAAACGCACTTTTTTTCTGGAAACTGTGTTTTTGAAGTGAGTTGGTAAGATTTCTCGAGAACTACTCAAGCGATCTTCATGCACTTTTACACAGGTCTTTGATATACAATTCTAAATTTTTTCGATTATAACTATTTGAAAAAAAAATGTCGCGAAGTTTTCAGTGAAATTTTCCTTTTTTTAATGTCTGCAAAAATCTAATTTTCAGTCCTTTTGTCCTTCGTCCAAGTGGTAAGTTAAGGTTTTAACTAAAACACATACTCTTTCGACTTTAGACGATCCTGTAAGGAGTTATCCTGCCAACGCGGGCGCATCTCAAAGTTTAGAGTTTAAAATATCTTTTTTCCAAAAATTTTAGAATTCCTTTGTTAATAGTGTATGTATGTATGTTGTAACAATAAAAAATTATAAATTATTCAATTTTTTATATGATAAAACTATTGTTAAAAATTGCAGTTTCATGGGTTCCGAAACTTACCTAACCTTAATTTTTTCGGCGAGCTAGCAATTCTTTACATATTAGGCTTAGAGCTCTTCGAACCTATAGAAAACTAAACCTGAAACGGCTATCAGGGTTGGCCTAAATCAACATATTAGCCTTTCATCAACCATCTTTAAATGGTTCAATGATGTCTATAAATATTTTGTCAACCAATCTGATTATCAGAGTATTTTCCTTTCACTGAAGTTCGAGTATTTTAATACTATGAACACATTGAGTCTGCACGCACTTCCTTCGCTTTACATATATATATACATACAGATATTTTCATGCAACAAATTGCACATCCATACGTACATATAATGTATATAATATTTTTTTTCCTTAGCCGATTTAAATACCGAGCGTAAGCTTTTATGCTTATTTGCCCAAGTCAATATACTTTTCATATACGACAGAGTACAAAGTATGTGCGAACATTTGTGTGCATAATATTGTCCCAGCTGTCGAAATTCCTAAGCGCGCCGCAATTAAAATGTGAAAAAGGCTAAGTTACTTACGTAAAGTAAACACGGCCCCGTTTGTTTTGTGGCGCCTTCCAAAACAGTTTCGCACCCAACTTGTCGCGATTGTCCGAATGCGTTATGGCTGAACATTCTGGTATAGTTTTGGTATTCTCACTTTGTATCCATTCACCAATCCATTCGTTGGAGTTGGCATCGCGCGCCTGTAGAAAGAATCCGCGGAAGGTGGACTTTTGATCGATGGGGTAAATCGAAACTGCAAAAAAATAAAATATGAAAAAAAGTAATCAAAACATTCATGCATTCGGTTATTTTTAAAGTGTGGGAGACATGTGCGCACATAAAATATAGTCGGTTCTATAAATAGGTAAATAAAAAAAAAATAAATGCATATTTTCATATTAATATTTTTATTTGCGTATGTTTGAAATTTATTTATGAGAGTTCTTTCACATATACATTAATACGAGTATGTGTGCTATGATAACGACATTTTTAGCAATAAATGAAAATCAAATAATATTAGCGACAATAGAAACTTTAACGCCAACCGGCTAACAGAGAAATCGGGAGAAAATCTTCTTTGAAATTGTGGGTATGCTCATGTGTGGCAAAACAATAAAATTTGTTAAAGTGAAATCGATTAATTTTAGAAAATGTATAACCAATAATTAATCGCTCAAAAAGTGGCTAAAACAAAGCGGTAATTTTTAATAGTAAACACAAAAAATAAAARCAAAAATACACAAGAAAAAACGTTAACAGCGAAGCTTTAATACCCTTAACAAATATAAAAGTTTTGATACAATAACTTGATTGTGGATTATTTCGAAGATAGTATATGCAATATCTGTCTGATCTCAACAATTGGTTCGGTGATTATTGCATTGCCTTGGACAATAATCCATGCCGAATTCCGTTAAAATATTTTGTCAAATAAAGTAGTTTTCATGCAAGAATTTATTTCGGATCGTTTCGTTTTTTACTTCACCTTCTCTTTTTGCRATAGCATTCAGCTCCTTCAGCGAATTTTGTTTTATCTCTTCGATCGACTGTAAACGAGTTCCACRGAKYGGCAATTTCAGTTTGGGGAACAAGAAAAAAATAACAGCTAGACAAATCTGGTGAATACGGTGGTTGAGCAATGCTATTCATTGGGTTTTTGTCTATAAATTCGGTCGCAATCGTGCTCGATGCGATAAATGTTTTCGTCTTATTACGGTCAAATAGAATTTCTTATTGACCGTTTGTTCCTCCGCAGCAAATTAATGATGCACCAAAGTACGAATATTGAAAAAAATAATGAACATCACCTTGATTTTTTAGCGGTATTGGGATGGTTTTTTTGGTTTTCGGTCGTATTTTCCCTCCATTTTGTTGATTCGTCACTTGATTGCATGTCAAACTCATAACCGCATTTCTCATCGGCAGTTATAATGCTCCCCATGAATATGGGATCTGCTTTCTTCATCATTTCCGCATGTCTTTAGCGATCTCTCGACCTTCTTCAAAGGTTTATACCACTCGTAGAGTTGTGTTTTTGATAAAAAAAAAAAGAATCATTGCTAGCCTTTTCTAACATTCGTAATGATTCCGCAGTTGAAATTTGGTTAGAAATACAAAAATTGAGACAAATTCTTTATTCGATAAGCAAAAGATGCGACATCAAATATATGAATTTTGTAAAAGCACAAACAACAAASAAATTTGCTCTTATCCCTTTCGCATATTGAATTTTTCGAACCAATTAATAGACTTTTTATATTTTTCGAATCAAAGCTGATATGAAAAGGCTTAAAAAGTAAAGATTTGCATATTCCTCACTAAAACACAATCATTGAAATTAGTTAAGTTAGTAAGACCAAAAGTATAAAACTATCTTGAAATTGTATTAAAAATAAAAATTCCTTGTCAAGACAACATAGAATATACAGACTTTTAATTATAAGCTTGGAATTAACATCTTTCTTACTTTTCAATCCGGGATTTTAGATTAAACATTTCAGTATAAGTTTAATTTTTAATTTTTATTCGGATTTTTGGTATGACAATTTTTGTTTTACTTCCGGTATTTAGTATTAATAATTTATTTTTAATTTTTCAGACAGCTATTTGAAATTCGAAATCGCAAAATGAAAAAAAAAAAAATATTAATTCAATAATTTTTTAAATACATTATTTGCAACCCTATACAGAGATAATACTTAATTTTTGTAGTATTTTGCTGATTTTGTTTATTACTTGTTTTTATAGTACATAGCGCAACCGGTTATTGCATTGAGTGCAAAGTTTTAGGTTCTAAAGTTTATCGCTTTTAATAGCATTCGATTATTTGAGCATTTCTGCAACCACTTTTGTGCAAATTAGTTCATTTAAATAGCTGTAAATTCAAATCTCAAGAAAGTATCATGTATATGTGAGAAAATCCCGGAACAGTTGAAAATTTTAGTCACCTGAAATTGGTTGTCCAGGATGAAACGTTTCCGAATCGGCGACAACTTCGTACGGAATCGTTTGTCCGGGTTGTGTGCGCGCTTTGCCGTGATTCGGTTGATTCGCACGTTGTTTGACGCAAGTGTCGGCGGGYGCACCATCCGGAAAGGCATTCGTCAAGCACAGCAGTGCCATCGAAAACCAAACAACACTGCACTTAACACTCATATTAAATACTACCAATAAATTCCTTTCAAATTCTAGTGTGGCTCAATCAAATATTTTTAATACTACTTGAAACAAATYTATTTTTTAAAACTTGTTGTAGGAAAATTTTAATTTTTTATAGAAAAATCTTAAATTATTTTCGCGCTTGTTCGTTGCCCGTTCTGCGTTAGACCGTATCTGATGTGCATCTGAGTAGTGGCCGAAAGCCGGGCGCTTTTTAAGTCCAAATCCAAGAGTAAAGCGCGTAGTCCAATGCATTTGTCAAAGTTTCAGCATTTCGGTGTGCTTGTATGCACATATGCATGTACATATGTATATATTTCAGTGCGTGCTGCTGAAAACTTGCGTGGGAACGCTTGAAAAGTGATCGATGCTTCAAAGCTGCATATGAGTATGTATGTATATACCTTAGCTCGTTTACTGAATGAAATGACCAGATCGGGAAAATCACTGCTTAAGAGTTTTTTTTTGGTTTTTTTTTTGCTAGAAATAGTTAATTGAAGCATGGTACAGTAATGCAAAAGTTAAGAGAGACATACATATAATATGTATGATTGGATTTAGTCAGTGGTGTGGTAGAAAGGGGTCAAAGGGAACATATTCCTTAGATTTTTGCTGGCACATTTCCTATATTTCTTCAATCAGAAAAATAATAGTTCTTGTTATACTCTGAACAGGTTGTATTAAGTTTGCCACGAAGGAGGCAACACCCAGCCACGTCGAAGATCGACGGCTTAAAGAATACTCAAAACTGAGAGATTATTTCTTGTATATATAGACATACGGTATGACTAAATTGACTGTGTTTTCCACAGTGATCATTTACAAATGCATATATGTACTATATATACTATTGTATATTTGAGTTATCGATTTGAAATTTTGGCCACGTCCTTTTCTCCCAAAGTAGCTGCTCATTTGTTGGTACCRCCGATATCGGACGACTATAACATATATGTAGCTGCGGTACAAACTGATCGCTCCAAATTAAAATAAATATCTCATAGTAGGTCTTTCCTGAATTGCCTTAGTTCGTCTTGGAACCACGTGTCTAGAAAGGACTAGCATACCGTTTTCTTTGGTTTCAAAATTGGAGTCGGTTATGTTTTYAGATTTAGTTATATAAGTACATTGCCTCCCGATAAAATTTGAAACGGGCTTATACATTTAAAATGCCTAGATATTAATAGAAGTTTGATCTACGTAGATATGCTAATTACTTTGTATGGAAATTGAGTGTTTGAAATTTTGGCCTGCCTTGTGGGAGGAATTTTGAATTTTATTATCAAAATAATCGTTCTTCAAATACAACTTTTTGTCTCTTTTACACTTTTGTCATTTCATTGTCGTAATAATCGTTTGCCAGTGCTCGGTATTCGTCGAATTTTTTACATAATGTTCAAGTGCCAATAAAGCAAAGAACCGCTGGAAGTAAAGAAAATACTGCTGCAGTTCAGGCAAGTGTTGCTGAAGACCGCAATTTGTCAATTCCAAGCCTTTCTCAAGACTTGGTACCGCCTCAAATCAATTCCTGACAAATTTTGAAAAATGACTTATGCTTGCATTCATATAAAATTGTTTTCTATCAAGAACTAAAGCCATTGGGCCTCCGTCAACGTAAAATTCACGGCTGATTTTGCCTTGGAACAACTTGAAATCGATAKTGATATTTTGAAGAAAGTCATCTTCTCCGATGATCATCTTTTTATCTGAGTGGTCCAGTAAATAAGCAAAACTGTCGATTTTGGTGCGAAGATAATACCCACATTATTTATGAATATCCATTACACTCACCAAAAGTGAAAATTTAAAAAGTTTTTCGATCGGGAGAAATTATCGGTCCGTATTTTTTCGAAATGAATCTGGTGACACCGTTACTGTCAATGGAAAGCGATATAAATCGATGATAACAATCTTTTTATAATAAAGAACTTCCAAATACAAGTTTATTGATATATGTACTCATGTATGTATTTACGAAAATATATTACGAAGCATTTCCAAAATTAGATTTTTGAAATCTAATAAATAACCTCAAATTGCCTTCAATAGATTTGACTATGCGCTTGCTTACACATATTATAACTTCATTCAGCACTCGGTGAAAAGTTTTTTTCTGATAACTCCGAGGTGAGCACTAACAGACTGTATTAGACAGACAAGCTTTTCAGGTCGCATTTGTGAAATATAATTTAATTCAGAACTCACTAGTTGTTCCCAATTCTCTGATTCTATGTACCACCCTAACGCATTTAAGTTAAACGAAGTGTACTTTATTCAATTTAATTCATGCTTTGTAAAGCAAAATTATGTCAAGCATATTGAGAACAACAAACTCATAGGACCTCTTCTTACACGCCACAGCGCATGTCCTGTGAGTACTCGCCGCATAACTCTCTTCGTTAAGTTACGCCTTGTGACATTTACCAACGACAATCGGAATTTCGTATTTTTGTTTTGATCCAAAGCAACAACTATTATAGTGTTTTGCTAAAACTGAAAAACGGAATTTTCGGGTTTTTAAGTTTGAGATGTGAAACAAACATATTAAATATATATTTTATAGTTCATAAAAAGAACAACCAGTAATGAACTGAAATTATCTTAAGTTCGTAAAAGGGAAACGATAGCTAAAGCTCTCAATAACGGCAGCTTATAGAATATACTCAAACGAAATCTAAAAAGGGAAACATAAAGAAGTACGATCTAAATGAAATTGGGGGTTGAATGTGAGTCGACTTTTCGATGTTTTTTTGCTATCAGGCGTTGGACCTTTAGGCCTCCAGTGTGTTCAGCAAGTGCTGGTCAACAGCCGGAGCTTTCTCCGAACCATTGGTCCTAAGCAAAGTTCATTTTATCGCAATTGTAGGTGTTGTAACTGCGCACTGTTCAAGAGGTCTACAGGCGTTTTTTGCCAAAGCTGTATGGAGAAAGCAAGGAGAAATCATCTTGTCACTTCTTCCAACTTTTGCCTTACTGAGATTGAAATATCAAGTTAGACACACCTTTGGCGAACCAAGCGAAGTTGCTGGGATTAATATTAATCGCCTTAGTGAATTCGCGGTAAGCTCAAAGCGCTTATTGCCTCTATGAGTTGGGTTTATAAAGCGTCAATTTAATTGAATGAATCAGCGTTTTCTAAGAGCTGAGGAGTTAGAAGGATATTTTTATACTCTCGCAACAAAGTTGCTAAAGAGAGTATTATAGTTTAGTTCACATAACGGTTGTTTGTAAGTTCTAAAACTAAAAGAGTCAGATATAGGGTTATATATACCAAAGTGATCAGGGTGACGAGTCCGTCCGTTCATCTGTCCGTCTGTCCGYCCGTCCGTGCAAGCTGTAACTTGAATAAAAATTGAGATATCATGATGAAACTTGGAACACGTATTTCTTGGCTCCATAAGAAGGTTAAGTTCGAAGATGGGCAAAATCGGCCCACTGCCACGCCTACAATATGGCGGAAACCGAAAACCTATAAAGTGTCATAACTAAGCATAGGGGGCATATTTGGACATAATTCTTTTGGAAAAGTGKGTATGGTCCCGCCCCCTACTAACTTTTATGTACATATCTCGAAAACTAAYATAGCTTTGTCAACCAAACTGTATAGAGTCGTTTCTTTTAGGCATTCCCATATAGAGTTCAAAAATGGAAGAAATCGGATAATAACCACGCCCACCTCTCATACAAAGGTTATGTTGAAAATCACTAACAAAAAACGTCAGAAACACTAAATTTTACGTAAGAAATGTCAGAAGGAAGCTGCATCCAGACTTTTTTTAAAAATTGAAAATGGGCGTGGCGTCGCCCACTTATGGACCAAAAACCATATCTCAAGAAGTACTCAACCGATTTCAATAAAATTCGGTATATAATATTTTCTTAACACTCTGATGACATGTACCAAATATGGGTGAAATCGGTTCACAACCACGCTTGAAATCTCGATTATCTCTTTATCATGCGAGAGTATAAAATGTTCGGTGACACCCGAACTTAGCCCTTCCTTACTTGTTTGGCTTAAATTTAATACTGAAAAATTAAATGTTGATAATACTCCTAACTTGATGATTCCTCCGCTTTTACTGGCATTTTTCTTCATACTAGACAAATTTCGCTTTTCTCTTTTAACTTCTATTTTCTACAAACACCAGATCGGGACTTACAGCACTACGTAGTGCGCACATGTGTACTCTCATCCAAAAATCCCTTGCGTGCTTATATTCCATTGCACATCCTATATATAATATTAACCAAAAGCATCGCTGCGAAGAGACGAAAGTAGAACATGGATTCGCAGGTGCTTGCAAATATTACAAACGGCACAGAACAAATCAGATCGCATTATACTGTCAAGGAGCGTCAACTTGTCGCGAACTGTAGCGGATGTCCGCTGCCTACTGTTCAGAAAAAAAAAATAAATAATAATAATTATAAATTGGTATGAGTAGAGCAACAAAGTAAGCGCTAGAGTGCAGTAACAAAGAAAACATTAAAGTATTGCGAATTGTTAAAAAAAAACAACAACAAGTGAATAAAATAAACGTGCAACGCTTACGGCGTGAATTCTGTGCGAATTGTTGTAAAAATATTGAAAAAGGTAAACGCCCGTTTTGCGAAACGCATTGTTGTTGTATTRTTGTATCTCAAAATACAACAATTTATAAGAATAAGCAAGAAATTAAACGCATTAAAAATAAATGGATTGAGAAAAAAATTCAAAATATAAAAAAATATATAAAATTTCATCAAATTGTGACTTGGAAATTTAATGCAAAACTAACGAAAGTCTCGTGCAAGGCATAATTGTGACCAACAACTACTTAGTAGGTCACATCTTGTCAGTGCACTGGCGCCTATGTGTGTGCGTGGGTGCGTGTGTGCGTCTGCTTGCGCCTGGTATAAAGGCTCCTGCTTGTCAGCGGTCAAGCGCGATGCTAAAAATACAACAATAAAGGCATATTTAACTCGCCCAATTTGGTCTGGCTTATAGCGGTTAATTGCAAGTAGTACATAAAACGTGCCTCCAGTACTTAACGATTCTGTCCGATAAATTTGCTCTGTGTGTGAGTGTATGTATGTGTGTGTGTAGTTGTATGCATTTGTATGGTTGTTGGTGTTGTGTAGTTGCATCCACATGACTTTGCGCTATTGATACTATAATGTGTAGTGGTGACTAATATAACGGGAAATTAATCGATAATTTCACAAACAAAAAACAAACAACAACAACAACAAAGCGA